AGGTGGCACAAGCAGGAGTCACGGGCACTGGGATTGGTTCTCAGCTGTGGGGGCCAATGGGATGCATGCCACCACTCTGAGGGAAGATGGAGGCGCACAGAGTATTCAGGAGTAGTTATCTCACAAATGTGTGATCATGGGACACAAGGTAAAAAGGTAACTGCACAGTAGCCCTTACATTATGTGTGAATAGCCCCAGTGAATACACACACACACAGTGGTACCTCGACTCATGAACGCCTCAGTTCACGGCCAAATCAGGTCGCGAACAAAAATTTCACAAAAACTTTGACTCAGGTTGCAAACTCTTCATTGGGTGGCGACCGTGATCGCGGCCATCTCCCCACCCACCTGAGTGGGGAGATGGCTGTGATCGTACTGGGGGCAGGGGAGAAGGAAGATGGCCGAGATTGCGCCTGTCTTTCCTGCACAAGTGCGCCCATGATTGTGCCCGTCTTTCCTATACGAGTGCAACTGTGTTCTCTGCCATCTCCCCCACAGCACAATCGCGCCTGTGTTCGCGCCCATCTCTCCCCTGCAGCATGCTCATGTTCACACCCGTCTCTCCCTCCCCCCAGCGCACCAGGATGATGGGCACATGCAGGGATGATGGGCGCGATCCTGGTCATGCTGGGGGGGGGACGGGGAGATGGCTGCGCTCATGCTTAGGGTGGGGGTGGGGAGATGGCTATCTTTGTTGTCCTTTGTCACTTTGCTTCATATTTTTCTGATTAAAAAAACAGTTACAGAACGGATAAACCTTATTTACATTGAACCTTATGGGGCAATTTAACTTGGCTCATGACCAATTTGGGTCACGACCAGAGTCCTGGAATGGATTAAGTTCGTGAACCAAGGTACCATTGTATATATATATGGTGATCAAGTCCTGCCTGCTTTTTGGGTGAGTCTACAACATTTTGCTGTCAGAGATGGAGCAGCAAATGGTACCCTCTCCCTTCCCCAAGTCAACATGCATAGCCATGGTACCCAAGTTTGGGCCAGGTACTTGGTACCTGCAATAGACTGTAAAATGCAATGATAAATTAGTTATTGTCTTTTATGGTGCCCCAAATTCAGAGCCAAGAGCTGTCCCCTCAGTCTGCCTCCAGCCCTGTGACAGACTACTTCTTACCAAACAATCTGAAAATGGGTTAAGTACTTGGCCCCAGGCGACAGAAAGAAAGAAGGAGGCAAGGACAAGCACACAGGAATTCAATTTTAATACACACTGATCTACTTAGGAGCGGCCTAGTTTCTTCTTATACCATTTTTGTCCATCAGCACTGGAACACTCTGAGAAAGATAGGATATCTTATCTGGTTTTCACCATGACAGCATAGGCTTATAAGCTGGAGGAGACAAATCAAGTGAAGCCATGTTGAGAAACTGGAAATATTATCATTTCAATAGTAAAAAAAAGTTTGCAAGTTATCATTTTGCATAAACAAGCATGGCAACAGCTGCGAGGAGCAGACTGTCCTCAAACCTGAAAGAGAAATGGGTATTGGAAGGAAACAACTTCTTTGCTTTGATGAATGGTTTTCTACAAAGGGTATGCATGAACATTCAGGAGTGCTTCCGGTTCATTTGCACTGCAATGGTAGTGTTAAATTGTATAGAGACTTTGATAAACGCTGTTTCTTTCCTCCATATGTCTTCACATTCGGATGGCAAAAGTCATTGGCCTAAACTGAAGAATACTGCTGTTCTATTTTCCAAATACAAACATTCCCTTCTGGTCTTATGCTGAATAATAAAACTGCATAGCTCATTTAGGGTCCACTTTGCATGATCCAAGAAGCAGCCATAGGCCAGATTTTGAGGATCGCTGAGTGACCAATGGATATGACCAATGAATGTAAACAGCCCTGGCCAGAATTCCTTTCAGCTTCAGGGACTTACATCCTTTGTGAGTGGCCAAACTGATTCTAGATCAGTTAAGCCCTTTTACGGGGTTCAATATACGGAAAGATGCATAAGAAACACTTCCCCTGTGGTGTTTTAACAGCTCAACAATTAAATTAGGTTTAAAGAGCAATTCCTCAGATGGAACTGTGGTGACACTTAGGCTGCAATTCTATGCACACTTACTTGGGAGCAATTCCCATTGAATCCAGTAATGTTTGCCTCAGAAGATCATATTAGTCATGCATAAGATTGTATTTTTATAGTGTCACAGATGAGACTACAACAAAACAGCATTTAAACCACTGGTAAAGCCACCCATTGAACTAAACTTTCAATGGGTTGGGCTGAGTCTTCACCTAGGGCCAAAGCATAAGGGACAGCTCTAGGCAAGCTTCCCTGGGAAGCAAGTCCAAAGGTGGGTGCTATCCAAGAAAAAGCCCCAGCCAAGGCTGCTTCCCCACCACACATGCACTCCTACACGTCTGTTTATAAAAGCTGAGCTGTGTGAGTATCAGCCAGGTATTAAGGAAAGAAAAACCATGTACAAAGAAAAATATTTTATCCTCTGAAAGACTGGCATATCTGCTGCCAAAAATCTCACAGGTTCACAGCAGAAAAAGTGCTGAGAACGTCCACGCGCAGGGGTTTATATTTCACCTCTGAACCAAAACCAGGCAGAGAACACTGAGGCTGACTCTCAGAAGAGCACTAACGTGAGCCAGCTGGATTTCTTGTAGGCTCAGCTTTGTGTGGTCAACTAGGGGGTCCACTGGATCCTTGCATAGCTGTTCAGCAGTGGCACTAAGGCCAGTGCTTGCCCTTCTACCAAGACAGAGAGGACCACAGTGCAGTCTAGTCTTGCACTGCCAGAAGATGAGGGGCTTCTTTCCCCCAGACTCTTCCAGGTTCCTTTTCTTGCACACTGGTTATCACTGGTGGAGGCCCAGGCAAACTTGGTAAAGGAAGCAAGGCAGGATGTGGCACTCTTGCTGAGCACTCTGTTCACTGCTTCCCACAGTTGTGGAGGGATCAGTTACCTGGGTTCGGATGATACAACAATCCACTCCTAAAACAGCCCATGAGCTCTCAGGATGGGAAAAAAACAAGTCCTACTAGTATGGTATTAGTATCCCCACATACAGGAAATACATGGATTTCAACACTTTGCAAAAATCAGTGTAATACTATTTGCTCTGATTTACTTTTCCCATCCTAATTCTTGCTGCTAGCTATATTACCTGCCCTGTTTTACTGACTATACAGGAAGGGACTTTCAGCATACAATACATATTGATTCAGAAGGAAGCCCTACTGTTTCAAAGGGACTTGCATGAGAACATGTCTACACAAGACATTTAGTCAAATGACTTTGCATCTGACTTAGTAAAATAATATATGCCATTTCTACCAGCATGGTTCTTTTTACCTTCTGGAAAGCAGGGTCATCAACAGGAACTTTGAATTGATCACAGAGGACAAAGAACTCTTCTTTGTTCAGGAGCCCTGAGCCTTCTTTGTCTTGTTGGAGGAATGCTGCCTGCATATTGCTATCTGGCAAGTAGTTATGTCGCTGCATGTGTTCCTGTATCTGCACAACTAACGCATCCAGCTCCTGTGCGTCAGGCTCATTTGAAGCTAACCTGCAGCAAGAAAAGGAACTTCTTTTCCATGAACTAAACAGACTTCATCTTGGGACCACAAATCCTGTCTGGTCAGGGTCACCTTGAAAGCCTTACTGATAATTAAGAGTTTCACTTGGGTAAGGGTTTTGCTGATCAAAAGCCAGCCTAATAATCACATTGATTGCACTGAGATAAATTCACATATTACCAAAATCTCATTATAGGTGAGCCTTTAAGAAAATGAATCTTACATTTAATACACAAAATCTACCACTCATTATTTGAAATAAAGCCCATCTTTCATTCTTTTAATTTCACTCATTTTATTCTAATGCTATAGAAATCAAGTAACACATGTAAACAGAAGCATGGCTAACTACAGTCCTACTAAGTAAAATTCACTCCCCGTGATTAATCTACTCAATGTTTAATTAAACACCCTTTCAAACAAACTAACTAAAAATTGCAAACTTACAAACCATAATTTAGCAGAGTGCTGAGCCTGGACACTAGGAAGGAGCTGCAGGTTGCAAATTGGCATTCAGTTTTCTGTTTTAGTTTGCATTTTTTTTGTCAGATAGCAAGATTTCTCAGGATGGGATGATACCAGCTGACCATGCAGCAACTATGACTCACATGCATATTCCCATTGCAATAATGCTTCCCTCTTATATATTTTAGCATCTGTGGTTCACAGATATCCATCTATAAACTATTCTGTAATATAGTGATGAAAACAACACATAGAAACAGAGCGAGTCAGAAGGGGCCTCCTGGGCCATCTAGTCTGACCCCTGACTCCAGTGGCTTTGCTCACGACATGCCTCCCATATGCACGTCTAGCCTATCCGTGAACACCCTCACCAATGGAGCCTCAACCACCTGCTGTGGAAACCCATTCTATACCCTCGGGGTCCTAACTGTCAGGAAGTGCTTCCTGGCATCCAAATGGGACCTTGGTTCCCTCAGCTTTGCTCCCTTGGAGCGTGTCCTGCCTTCCTCTGCAGGGGAGAACAGGTCTCTACCCACCTCCATGTGACACCCCCTCACATACCTGTATGTCACCAACAGATCCCCTCCGAGTCTCCTCTTCTCCAGGCTGAAGAGACCCAGTTCCCTCAGTCTTGCTGCATACGGCATCCCCTGCAAACCAGCTACCAACCTTGGGGCCCTATGCTGCACTGACTCTAACCTGGCTATATCCTTCCTGTAATGAGGGGCCCAAAACTGAGCATAATACTTCAGATGCGGGTGCACCAGAGTCATATAGAATGGTAGTAATACCTCTCTCAGTCTAGAAGCCACACTTCTGGCTATGCAACCAAGGGTGGTGTTCGCCCTCTTGACCACTGCATCACACTGCTGACTCATGTTTAGCCTGCAGTCAACCAGCACCCCGAGGTCCCTTTCACAAGTACAGCTCTCCAGCCACTTGTCCCCAAACCTGTACTTAGGACACCCATTCCTATGCCCCAGTTGCAAGACCTTGCACTTATCCACATTGAATGCCATCCTGCTGTCTCCTGCCCATGTCCATAGTTTAGGATCCTCTGCAAATTTGATCAGCAGACTGTTAACCCCTTGTTCCACTAACTATGCAATTTGAGCTTGTACATGCACTGCATTTGTACTGCTCCACAACAGCAAAAACCTGCCGGGATGTAGAAAACTCATGTATCAGGAGTCACATACTGTGGAGAAAAGCTTTGATGGCACTCAAAATAGGAGACACACAAATTGTTGAAATGTTGAACTCCAGCTAACTTGGTTTTTGCATTTGCATAGTTAGCAAGATATGTGCTTATTACAGAAAAATCGTCAATCTTCTGCATTTTGGTTGTGTGGGGATATGTATGAAATGTGTTGACTGGAATGATGTAAAGATTAGGCTGTTTATTTTTGTTAAGTCTAATCTGAATTGATGGGTAACTCACCTAAAGAATATATAACCATATGAAGAGCCCTGCTGAAATAGATGAAATTTCCATGTAGTCCAGCACCTTATTTCCCCAGCTAGATGTTGGCTTGTGGAAGCATAGAAAGCAAAGCATGAAGGCAGTGGCCCTCTCCTGCTGTTCCTCAACAAGTGGCACAGAAACCACAGAGGCTTGGGGCTTCTCATGGCACCTTCACAGTGTGAGAAGGAATTGTGCACTACTTGCTGGGAGGACAACGTGAGAAAAGGACATTTGTCTCCATGACATACGTAATGGCATAAGAATCAACTCTGCCATGCTGAGAAATGTGGAGTGAAACTCCTAAGCACAGTCCTGTGACTTCAGCAAAAAATCTTTGAGTCAGTTTCCTTTAAAATCTCACCTCTTTACTGCCTCTGTTGCTGCCTGGTGAGGTGCAAAGTGATCCCGCATAGACTGCACAACTTCTGCTGGGAAGCTCTCCAAGTTGCTTTCCATGTAATTCAGGACATAATGATCAACATCCACAATAATGAACCTGTGGCCAAACACTGGATGGAAGAAAGCCAACCAATTTATCACCACTAAGATTTTGTTTTAATTCAGTTTTCAATGTTAGGCACTTTGAGTACCATTATCTGGCAGAAAGGTGGCATATTTAAAATAAAACAGAAATAAATCAAAACAAAATGCAACACAACACAACGCAAATAAAATACTGTATGTGTGACACTTCCAATATCTAAATGATCAGATATAATATCTGAAGAACAAGCATACAATCCAAGGAATCCATGGTTTCAGCTTATCCTGTAGTTTGGCAATCTGTCTTTCTTTGCAAAGTGACTAAAGCAGAACCTGAAATAGAATCTGCTATAATTGAATAATCAAACTGTGTGGTTCAGCCCAGTTCTGCTACTCTTTTATTTCAGACTCTTGGTCCTGGGGCCACAGTATAAAGCAATAGGATGAAGATATAGGAGCAAACTAAACTTCCACCTTAATTCATTTGCTCTTGGTTTTCCCTGTCAGTATAATGATGATATAGAACTTTGAAGGTATTACAGAGCTCAATGCCCACAAAAAAATGTCATTTATGTGCTAGTCAGTTTTAAGCATTTTGATTTCATGATTTGTTAGGCTATGTATTCATGAAATCCACTGGAGAAGGAAATGGCAACCCACTCCAGTATCTTTGCCATGAAAACCCCAAGGACAGTACCAAAAGGCAAAAAGATATGATGCTGGAAGATGAGCCCCTCAGGTTGGAAGGTGTCCAATATGCTACTGGGGAAGAGCGGAGGGCTAGTACTAGTAGTGCCAGAAAGAATGAAGCGACTGCGTCATAGCCGAAAGGACACTCAGTTGCAGATGTATCTGGTGGTGAAAGGAGAGTCCAATGCTGTAAAGATCTATATTCCATAGGAACCTGGAATGTAAGATCCATGAATCAAGACAAGCTGGACGTGGTCAAATAAGAGATGACAAGACTGAACATTGACGTCTTAGGAATCAGTGAACTAAAATGGACAGGAATGGGTGAATTTAATTCAGATGACCATCAGGTATAATACTGCAGGCAAGAATCCCTCAGAAGAAATGGAGTAGCCTTCATAGTCAATAAAAGAGTAGGAAAAGCAGTACTGGGATACAATCTCCAAAATGACAGAATGATCTCAGTTCGAATCCAAGGCAAACCATTCAACATCACAGTAGTCCAAGTCTATGCCCCAACCACTGGAGCTGAAGAGGCTGAAGTTGACCGGTTCTATGAAAGCCTACAGCACCTTCTAGAATTAACACCGAAAAATGATGTCCTTATCATCATGGG